TGCCAAAAGACATAATAAAACCAAAATAGCTCAGTATCCTGTGCATACAGAACAGAACAAACAGTTAAACATCAATACGTTGTCTGGCAGTGTCGGGGAGTAATGATCCAACTAACTTGACTTTTCAGTAAAACTTTAAAACAGCTTTTCCAGTATTGTGATAAACGTGAGATTTCATCACACTTTATTGTGCAAACTGCTCATGAGACAAAATGAAGAAACAATCTAATGCCCTCCTAAAAAGTTCTCAAAAGGGCATTTGGAGGTACAATTCATTCAAACCCGGTTTACACGAGAACGCTCGCGGGTGAAAACGTAAAAATATTTTATCTGATGTGCCTTTCGTTTACACGGCGACGGCATTTTTAGGGCATAAAAACGCAAAAAAAGTGAAACCCCCCTCAAGAGTAGAAATTGGACAGTGGAAAACCACCCTCCACCGCTCCGCTGTTGCGTTCCCGTCTAAAGGGTAAAAATGCAAAAGTCTGCTAGACAGCGAAGGTTGTACGCAGGCACGCGGACTTGGTGTTGTGTGGCATAAAAAGTAGAGCAAGACCGATTTATCGGCAGGCCGATATTATCGGCCAATATTAGGCATTTTCCAAAATATCGTTATCAGCAGTTATAATGGCAGATGAATGAATATTTCAAAAATAAAATAAAAACAGACGAAACACGCTTCAACCATGTCATGAGTGTTGGAGTTCTATAGTTTGTCCACCAGAGGGCGCTGTTGGCCACACATCCTGCAATCTGCTGATCCAGGTTGCAGGTAGCTTATAAGGCAATGAAGGGACTAATTATTATTTTATTTATCAGAACACTTTAATATATTTTAATGTTCATCTGTTCTGTTGTGACAATAAAAGAAACAAGTTTCTTTTTAAAATGCATTATCATATTATTTTAGTTAAAACTCATAAATAACTACAAATGTTCCCTAATGTTAGGGAAATCTGTTAATGTTTTGTTACATGTGTCTGAAATAAAAAAAATTTAAATAATATCGGCCGATATATCGGAATATCGGATTTTAAAACCAACAAATATTTGTATCGGTATCGGCCTTATAAATCTTATATCCTTATATATCGGCTCTAATAAAAAGTGATAACTTTATCGTTAAACGTCATACAAATAAAAGCATATTCGTTTTTTATGAGCCTGAATATTCGAAAACGAGTAAATCGTGAGCTAATTTTCATTTTTGGGTAAACTATCCCTTTAAGGCTTGTACTCTAGGGACACAAACTTTTTGTGCCTGATATATCAGGCTCTGACTGCATCAAGATACTATCTGCAGAAATAGCTGCAATGTATTTTTAGTAGCTTGTTAGTAACGTATTAATCTATAAGAACAATGGCTTGACTTGTGAAACTTGCTTACAAACTGAAATTTTGTTTGGGAAAATCAAGCAGATTTCAAGCTTCTTCCCCAACATTGCCATCCTTTTATCATGAATGATACACAGCAAGACTAACAAACTCTGTTGAATGATAGTAATACTGCTGAAGGTTGAGAGGCTAATCTAAAAGGAGCTTCCCTCCCAGATCCTGAATGAAGGATGGAGATTAAGACGTCACCACCTGATCCAGACGCTGCAAGTTCAGCTGGCCTCCCCAGGTCATTCAGCAGTAAGATTTGGCTCCAATCGTGAGCTAAACAGAGACTTTCTATAAGAGGCTGCTGCACACAATGTCTGCTTGGGAAAGTGACGCTGAAAATATCAACTGTGTGCGAACATGAATGCAGAAGTTTAAAATTAAACTTTCACAGGCAACTATTACAAACTAATTGCCTCTGCATCAAAATAACTGCATTCATCGCCATCATGTTCCACTCATATCTGAATATAGAGCGCTCTTGTAAAAGTGAAAGTGATCGCGTCAGATTTATCTGTAGCTTTTAGGAAATTACAGCTGAGCTTTCATGCAAAATGACGTAAATTCTTACATAAAAAAGTTGACATAAATCAACAATATCAGTCGTATTTATTCTTCTACATGAACGCCACGTGATTCATGTCCGTTGTTCTTTTCAAAAGGGCAGATTCTGTTTACAGTACATATACTAGAGCCTTGCCAGATTAAAATTCATAGTAATGGAGTTACAGCCACTATTTACACACTTCCTTTAACAAACACACAT